ACTGACTTATTCCACTTAACCTAATACACTGTAGCTCCATCCATGTCACTGCAAATGGCAAGATTTCATTCTTTTTGATGGCTGAGTAGTATTCCATTATATATGTTGAATATATATAATATGAATTATATATAATGATCAATTATATATATAATGATATATATATGTATATAATTCATCAGTCAATGGACACTTGGGATTTTTTTTTAAATTTTTATTTATTTATGATAGTCACAGAGAGACAGAGAGAGAGGCAGAGACACAGGCAGAGGGAGAAGCAGGCTCCATGCACCGGGAGCCTGACGTGGGATTTGATCCTGGGTCTCCAGGATCGCGCCCTGGGCCAAAGGCAGGCGCCAAACCGCTGTGCCACCCAGGGATCCCCGGACACTTGGGATTGAACTAAGTACTCAACTTTATTTTTTTTGTTTTATTATTTTTTTAATAATAAATTTATTTTTTATTGGTGTTCAATTTACCAACATACAGAATAACACCCAGTGCTCATCCTGTCAAGTGCCCCCCTCAGTGCCTGTCACCCATTCACCCCCACCCCCCGCCCTCCTCCCCTTCCACCACCCCTAGTTCATTTCCCAGAGTTAGGAGTCTTTATGTTCTGTCTCCCTTTCTGATATTTCCCACACATTTCTTCTCCCTTCCTTTATATTCCCTTTCACTATTATTTATATTCCCCAAATGAATGAGACAATATAATGTTTGTCCTTCTCCGATTGACTTACTTCACTCAGCGTAATACCCTCCAGTTCCATCCACGTTGAAGCAAATGGTGGGTATTTGTCGTTTCTAATGGCTGAGTAATATTCCATTGTATACATAAACCACATCTTCTTTATCCATCATCTTTCGATGGACACCGAGGCTCCTTCCACAGTTTGGCTATTGTGGACATGGCTGCTAGAAACATCGGGGTGCAGGTGTCCCGGCGTTTCATTGCATCTGAATCTTTGGGGTAAATCCCCAACAGTGCAATTGCTGGGTCGTAGGGCAGGTCTATTTTGAACTCTTTGAGGAACCTCCACACAGTTTTCCAGAGTGGCTGCACCAGTTCACATTCCCACCAACAGTGTAAGAGGGTTCCCTTTTCTCCGCATCCTCTCCAACATTTGTGGTTTCCTGCCTTGTTAATTTTCCCCATTCTCACTGGGGTGAGGTGGTATCTCATTGTGGTTTTGATTTGTATTTCCCTGATGGCAAGTGATGCAGAGCATTTTCTCATGTGCGTGTTGTCCATGTCTATGTCTTCCTCTGTCAGATTTCTCTTCATGTCTTTTGCCCATTTCATGATTGGATTGTTTGTTTCTTTGGTGTTGAGTTTAATAAGTTCTTTATAGATTTGGAAACTAGCCCTTTATTTGATACGTCATTTGCAGATATCTTCTCCCATTCTGTAGGTTGTCTTTTAGTTTTGTTGACTGTTTCTTTTCCTGTGCAAAAGCTTCTTATCTTGATGAAGTCCCAATAGTTCATTTTTGCTTTTGTTTCTTTTGCCTTCGTGGATGTATCTTGCAAGAAGTTACTGTGGCCGAGTTAAAAAAGGGTGTTGCCTGTGTTCTCCTCTAGGATTTTGATGGAATCTTGTCTCACATTTAGATCTTTCACCCATTTTGAGTTTGTCTTTGTGTATGGTGAAAGAGAGTGGTCTAGTTTCATTCTTCTGCATGTGGATGTCCAATTTTCCCAGCACCATTTATTGAAGAGACTGTCTTTCTTCCAGTCGATAGTCTTTCCTCCTTTATCGAATATTAGTTGACCATAAAGTTCAGGGTCCACTTCTGGGTTCTCTATTCTGTTCCATTGATCTATGTGTCTGTTTTTGTGCCAGTACCACACTGTCTTGACCACAGCTTTGTAGTACGACCTGAAATATGGCATTGTGATGCCCCCAGCTATGGTTTTCTTTTTTAATATTCCCCTGGCTATTTGGGGTCTCTTCTGATTCCACACAAATCTTAAAATAATTTGTTCTAACTCTCTGAAGAAAGTCCTTGCTATTTTGATAGGGATTGCATTAAACGTGTAAATTGCCCTGGGTAACATTGACATTTTCACAATATTAATTCTGCCAATCCATGAGCATGGAATATTTTTCCATCTCTTTGTGTCTTCCTCAATTTCTTTCAGAAGTGTTTTATAGTTTTTAGGGTATAGATCCTTTACCTCTTTGGTTAGGTTTATTCCTAGGTATCTTATGCTTTTGGGTGCAATTGTAAATGGGATTGACTCCTTAATTTCTCTTTCTTCAGTCTCATTGTTAGTGTATAGAAATGCCACTGATTTCTGGGCATTGATTTTGTATCCTGCCACGCTACCAAAATGCTGTATGAGTTCTAGCAATCTTGGGGTGGAGGCTTTTGGGTTTTCTATGTAGAGTATCATGTCATCTGTGAAGAGGGAGAGTTTGACTTCTTCTTTGGCAATTTGAATGCCTTTAATGTCTTTTTGTTGTCTGATTGCTGAGGCTAGGACTTCCAGTACTATGTTGAATAGCAGTGGTGAGAGTGGACATCCCTGTCTTGTTCCTGATCTTAGGGGAAAGGCTCCCAGTGCTTCCCCGTTGAGAATGATATTTGCTGTGGGCTTTTCGTAGATGGCTTTTAAGATGTTGAGGAATGTTCCCTCTATCCCTACACTCTGAAGAGTTTTGATCAGGAATGGATGCTGTATTTTGTCAAATGCTTTCTCTGCATCTAATGAGAGGATCATAAGGTTCTTGGTTTTTCTCTTGCTGATATGATGAATCACATTGATTGTTTTACGAGTGTTTACTCAACTTTAAATACAGACTGGGCAAATGGGAGTTTATAGCCAAGGTCCAGGGTGAGGCGTCAGCAGATAGGAAATTACTAAACAAATTCAGCAGATAGGAAATTACAAAACAAAATTCAATTGAATAAGTTATAATGATAATACTGGCTTTGTTCAATGATCCATGAATCGGGTATCATCAAATTTAGCAAACGGAAATGACCTGAGGAGCTGTACAAATTGAAAGACTTTTACAGGCCAAAGGGGGCAGGAACAAGTTACTTATGCTAAGCAAAAAAAAGGAGGTTATTGCAAGATTACTTTTTCTCAGAGGATGGCAGGGGTCTATCAACAGATTACCTAACTAGTGTTGATCAGGTGACTCCTAATTGACTCATTTAAGATCCCATTTCTTTCTTTCTTCTTCTTCTTTTTTTTTTTTTAAATATTTATATATTCATGAGAGACACAGAGAGAGAGAGGTGAGGCAGAGACAGGCGGAGGGAGAAGCAGGCTCCCTGCAGAGAGCCCAGTGAGGGACTAGATCCCAGGACCTGAGGATCACGACCTGAGCCAAAGGCAGATGTTCAACCGCTGAGCCACCCAGGTGCTTCAAGATCCCACTTCTGAGAGAGCTGAAACAGAAATTAAGTGTAGGTTTGGTGACAGGACGCTTAGCAAGCAACTCCATTTTAAGAATGTTATTTTGTTTTTTTGTGTAAGATTTTATTTATTCATGAAAGAGAGAGAGCGAGAGCGAGAGCCAGTGAGAGAGAGAGGCAGAGACACAGGCAGGGGGAGAAGCAGGCTCCATGCGAGGAGCCCGACGTGGGACTGGATCCTGGGACTCCAGGATCACGGCCTGGGCTGAAGGCAGGTGCTAAATCGCAGAGCCACCTGGGCTGCGCTGTTATTTTGTTTTTAACACAAAAAACATCAGGGGCATTCTGACTAAACTGACTTACTAGGATTCTTGCTGAAGGCAGGCAAGGGTGAAGTGCCTTGTGGAAGGATAGTGGAAGATGAGAAATCTGATTAAATATTGAGGGTGATCAGATATGAAGAATGGGGGGGACCTGGATAAACTGACTTAGCATGATTTTGCTAAAGAGAAACAGGGAAGTCCAAAAGTCAATGGCTAGTTGAAAAAGTGCTCAGAGGAACCTGAGTAGAATTTGTTTGAGGAGTGAATCTTTGTCATGTCACTTAATTTTAATTAAAATGTAAAGGATGGGTTGCCTGGGGGTTGCCTCAGTCGATTAAGCCTCCACTCTTGATTGCACTTAGGTCAGGATCTCAGGGTCCTGGGATCAAGCCCCAGGTTGGGCTCTGTGCTCAGTGAGGAGTCTGCTGGAGATCTTCCCCCTCTCCCTCTGCTCCTCCTCCTCCCGTGCCCTCTCTCCCTCTAAAATTAATAAATCAATAAATATTTAAAAAGATCTTTAAAAAGAAAAAATTTAAACGTCAATATTGGATAGCACCGCTAAAAGTTTTCTTAATCCTTCACATTTGTTAGGATGGTGATGTAACAAGCTACCGTAAGCATGCAGTCTACCAACAATGAATTACCTTAATCTGAAGCGCGGTCACTTCTATAACCAGCACGTTTGTGCGCTGTAACAGATTATTTGTTCTTTTTATAAGTAACATTAATGTCTAAGTTGTGTGACGTTTACTTAACCACCTGTATCCTCCGTAACTGCCGGAGAGGTTGCCTCTCCCTTTGCCGGAGAGGCTTATCTGGCACAAAACCCATAGGTATATAGGAGCTGGCACCCGGGCTGGTTTATACTCTCCCAGAGGGCTGAGAAATTTGTCTCGAAATTGGACACGGTCGCTACACTGATCTAAATGACGCTTAAAAATGAAACGAAAATACTGCATTAAAAAATTAAGACTAGAGCGAAAACCAGAAGTGGGACAGCAAGAGGTCGGGAGGTCCGCTCCAGGGAGTTCCGTTCCTGGAACTCGCGTACAGCAGCTCCCGCCTCCGACGCTGCTCCAGCCGCTCGAGCGCAGCCAGCCACCGAGTCCCCGGCGCCCTCGCACCGCAGCCTCGGCGCGGTCCCCTGGCCCCGCCCCACTCCACCTGGGTGCCCTCGGGACCACGCCTCCTCCGAGCGCCCCGCCCCGCCCCGCCGCCGTGCGACTCCGGGCGGCGCGAGTCGGCGCGCTGACGTTCGACGCTTCAGGTACTTTCCCCGCGGCCGGCCGGGCCCGGCGTGGGGGCGGGGCAGGGCACAGAGCGCGCATGCGCCGCAGCGCCAGCGCTCTCCCCGGATCGTGCGGGGCCTGAGCCTCTCCGCCGGCGCAGGCTCCGCTAGCGCCAGCTCGCTCCCGCCGCCATGTCTGCCGCCGTCGAGCGGGAGTTTGAGGAGTTGGATGCTCAGAATCGTTGGCAGCAGCTGTACTTGGTGAGTCGCGGGCTCGTGCAGCAGCCACAGTCCTCACCGAGGACCCGGGCTCGTGCCCGCCGGCTCCCTCCCGCCTCCCCCGCCTCCTGCCCGGGGCGGAAGTGGTGGCGCGCGGGCCGCGTCAGGGGCGCGCCTGCGCCGAGCGAGTCTCTGGTCCCTTCTGAAAAAAAGACCTCAGACGGGCGGGGGGGGCGTGTGTGTGTGTGGTGGGGGTACTTCTCGCGAGCGCGAGCGCGAGCGCGAGCGCGGAGCTAGTTCTGGAAGGCGGCTCCACAGCGGCGCCTGGTGGCGGGCGAGGGCGTGCTCCGCCGCCCGGGGGGGACGAGGGAGGCTGGGGGTACGGGGGAGACCGGGGGCGGGGGGCGTCCGCCAGGCTGGTTTAGACTCTCCCCTTCGCGCGCCCTGGTGCCTGCGTCTGCCCGCCGATACCTCGTTCCCTGGCCGGGTGTCCTGGGGCGGAGCGGGGCCGAGCGGGGCCGGCGCGGCGCCCGCTCCCGAAGGCTCGACCGGCCCTGGCCTTGCTGCCGTGGGTGGGCCCGGGGCCCCCGAACCGTGCGGACCGCCGCGCTCCCTGCGAACCCGCCGTCTTGGTGTTCGCTGGCAGCCCGGCGTCTCAGCGCCTGGGTCGTCCCCACAGCTTCCAGGAACGAGAGTATCTGGCTTTGGTTGTGCTCGTTAGAAGAATAAGGATGTTCCCTTTTAAACCTCTTTACTGGGAAATACTTAACATACAGCAGAACTCACAGGTTTTATGTGTGGGGTCAAGCGAGTTTTCTGGACACACAGTCCTGTGTGAGTACCAGCCAGGTCACGGTAAGGAACCTGCCCGTTCCCCCCGCAGGTGCTGTGCTGCCTGCACCTTCTTCCATCCCTTAGACCATCGCTGCTCATTCCTTGCCGCCAAACGATCATCTTGCCTATTACCGAAATCGTGTGAATGGAATCATCTAGTTGAATTCTTAGGAGACTAGTTTTTTCACATCAGGGAACCTTTTAATTCAGATAGAAATTTATGTCTTTGAAAATGATTTAGGTGCCTGTTCTGTACTGCTTAATTATTAGCCTATTATTCCCAAGATTAAATTGAGTGGTTGTTCAGTTAAAAGTTGTTTCTGCTGTTCCGTTCACTCTTTATACAGGAAAGGGGAAAAAAAAAAGGTTTTCCTATAAATCTGGATGATCTTAGGTTTCTCCCCATTTAAATTCATTTAAAGGACAGTAAGAATTGTTTGTCTTTATGTTCAGAATGTATCAGTTTCTTCTTGAAGACATTAGCAGGAAGTATAATAAATACCCTGACTCACATGACTACAGAGTATGTTAAAATAAGAGTACTAACCTTTAAGAATGCTGGTAAAGGCCTTGCCAAATATAGAAAATTTTAAATGCAAATTCTAGTAGGAATCTTTATGTGAGAGCCTGCCAGCTGTGTCTTCTCCAGTTACATTTGTTTAAATAGAAGCTACTGTCTCCAGGTTGCTGGTGGTATATCAAAGTACAGATCTGAGAAGAGAAAGGTGAATGCTATGATTTAATTGAGCTTAACATTTTGGTTGGGGGGGTGGGGTGGCAGTAGCATTAATATCTTTGAAAAAAATTTTTTAAGGTTTTATTTGAATGAGAGGGGGACAGAGCACGAGCAGGGGGCAGAAGCAGAGGGAGAAGCAGGCTTCCCGTTGAACAGGGAGCCAGATGTGAGGCTTGATTCCAGGACCCTGAGATCATGACCTGAGCCAAAGACAGATGCTTAACAAACTGAGCCACTCAGGTGCCTCAGTATCTTTGGAAACTTAATGAAAACTGTAATCCCTTTGACCAGAAAAGTATACTTACTTGCATCATCTGAAAATTTCACATTCAATTTCAAGGAATTCAGGAAAACCTTCCATGGACTTGTGCCAAGGAATCCTTTAGTGGGTTGGTCAATGTGCATACTTTTTTTTTTTTTTTTTCCCTAATGGAAGAAGAAGAGTATTAGTTTGGTCTTTAGAAATCATGCAATACATACTGGTGTTATAGTAAAAGGTCACAAAACAAGAAAGTAATGGAAAGCAAGTCGAGGAAAAGGTTTTCCTTTGACCCTAGAATATCCATTCAGCCATACTATAAATTTGTATTGAGCACTAGTGGTGTGCCAGTCCCTTCTCTGGACCTTTGAGATTTGGCATCTTGAAAATACAGTGAAGTTTATTCTCTTGAGGAGCTCACAATTCTAGGACTTCTTCTTTTGATGATTTCTTCACAGTTCCCTGTTTTCATTCATTGACTCCCAAGGTGCCTATTATGTATCACATTAGACTGAGTTCCAGCTCTCAAGGATCCAGCCTGGTGGGGAGTAGTAAATGGGTAAGAAGATGAAAACATAAAAGTGAGAAAGGCAAAACTGGTGTTAAGCACAGAATGTTGTCTAATCACCCAAAAGGGTGCACCTGGGAGTTCTGGTGATGCTTCCTGCAGGAGGGATAGCCTTCCCTAAGCCTTGAAGGACAGGTTGGCCAGGTGAAGAAAATAAGGGAGGGTGGAAAGAATTAGTGTTCCAGAGAAGGGAGGAATGTGTGCAGAGGCACAGAGCATAGAATGCCAAGAGGACTACCAATAAATTAGCCTCGTGAGGATAATGGAATGAAATTGAGATGCTGGAGGGATAAGGCTGGAGAGTAAGACAGAGTCTTACTGTACCTGTAGATCAGACTGGCATGTGGGCTAATTGATAGGACTCATCGAGGAATTTTAAGCCTGGAAGTACCATGACCATACCATATTTACTTTTTAGTAAGATCACTCTACTAGTATAATTGATGGGGCTAACCATAGGAAGGTAGTGCAGGGAAGTGGTCTGTTGGAATAAACCTGACGAGAAATGTTGACCTTCTAAACTAAGGCAGTGGCAGAAGAAAGGAAGGGGAAATACAGATTTGAAGTGGTAGGGGATAGATGTGTTTGGCTTGGAAACTATTCAGTTCAGTTGAAATACCTATAAGAGGGATCCCTGGGTGGCGCAGTGGTTTGGCGCCTGCCTTTGGCCCAGGGCTCCATCCTGGAGATCCGGGATTGAATCCCACGTCGGGCTCCCAGTGCATGGAGCCTGCTTCTCCCTCTGCCTGTGTCTCTGTCTCTCTCTCTCTCTCTCTCTCTCTCTCTCTCTCTGTGACTATCATAAATAAATTGAAAAAAAAAAAAAGAAATACCTATAAGACACCAATATGGAAATAGGTCCAGGGGAGGCCTGAGCTGTAAATAAGGTTTGGGAAATCATGAGCACATAGGTGGTGTTTGGGGTCCTAGATATGGATGAACTCATCCAGGGAAAATATGGAAGGTTTGGAAATGCTGAAGCCCAATGACAGAAATCTTGACCACCACCTACAATTAAAGGCATAGGTAGAGAAAGGAGCTTGCAAAAAAGACTGGAGGGAAATAACCACAGAAGTAGGGAGAAAATCGATTGTAGGTGTGAACAGAGTTGATGGTCAGGAGCGCCACATGCAGCAAATGGGACAAATAAAGTCAAAACTGAAAGGGCCCATTGACTTAAGGAGCAGATGGTCAGATACCTTTGTTTTTATTTTATTTATTTTTTTAGAGAGAGAGAGAGGGAGGAAGGGAGGGGAGGGCAGAAGGAGAGGGGGAGAGAGCGAATCTTAAGCAGGCTTGGTGCCCGGTGTGAACCCGACGTGGGTCTCAATCTCACAACCCTGATGAGATCATGACCTGAGCCTAAATCAAAAGTCGATGCTTAACCAACTGAGCCACCCAGGTCCCTTCAGATACCTTTAAGAAGAACAATTTCAGTGGAGTACAGAAGACAAGCTGGGCATTGAGAAGAGAACATGGGAAGAAGTACAACCAAGTAAATGTAAACCATTCTTTTAAGAAGCCCATATTGACCAATGGAGTGGGGCAGGTAGCTAAAATGAAGCAGTTATGTCCCTTACTGAAAACCTTCAGTGGTTTCCCATTGCTCATAATGTAGACCTCAGATTCTTCTGTGGCTCACAAGACGACATGGCCTGCCTCTCCGTATGACTTTCTTCCTTCTTTCCACTGGATTCTGTTCCTTGATATGTGTCTATTCTGTCCTGAAGACCTTCATAATTGTAGCTCTCTTTGCATTAGCACTACTTCTCCTCCTTTCCCCTCCATTTTTGCTTAACTACCTCCTACTCATTCCTGAAGTCTCACTTCCTTGGTGGGGTCCTTCCCGATCCTCTCATGCAGGATATGATCCTCTGTTACATACTCTATAGTGTTCTATGACTTCCCCTTTCATAGCAGTGTGTTGGATGTCATATGCAGCAGATTATTTAAGGAACACAAATTTGCATTAAGCAAACAACTATTTCTTGAGTAAGGAAAAACTGCTTAAGTGGGCTCTGCTTTGTCACAATACTGAGTGCTATTTGTGTTCATTTTTTTGGCAATGTTAATTGGATTAGGAAAAAGGCTTTGATCTTGGGCAAAAACTATATAAAACTAAAGTTGAACTTAGTAGTGTGAGAACTTTGACTTTACACCTTACTGAAAGTCTTGCAGGAAGAGAAAAATGAATTGATTATTTTCAGTCTGGGACTGGCCCCTTACTCCTTTTTACCCAGTTTTGAACAGTTGCTTTTATAACATAGTTTTTTTTTTTTTTTAAGGTTTTTAAAAATTTATTTGATAGAGCCAGAGAGTACAAGCAGGAATATCGGCAGAGGGAGGAGAAGCAGGCTCCCCGCTGAGTAGGGAGCCTATATGGGGCTCAGTTCCAGGACCCTGGGATCATGACCTGAGTGGAAGGCAGACGCTTTTTTTTTTTTAATAAATTAATTTTTTATTGGTGTTCAATTTACCAACATACAGAATAACACCTAGTGCTCATCCCGTCAAGTGTCCCCCTCAGTGCCCATCACCCACTCACCCCCACCCCCCGCCCTCCTCCCCTTCTACCACCCCTAGTTCGTTTCCCAGAGTTAGGAGTTTTTATGTTCTGTCTCCCTTTCTGATATTTCCCACACATT